CAAACCTCAATAAGTTTTTTTTCCTTTGCTATCGCAAAAAAACCATATCTTAAACCATCAAAGACAAATGGACATTAATCAAAAATGAATTGAAGAAGAAAAAAACATTTAAATTATGAAGCTTCTCCAGCATTATCTGCACCAATTTTTTTCTGCACTTTCTTCTTCCTTCTCAAAGCTTATATTCAACAGCAGCAGAGAAAGAAGAAATAAGAAAAAAAAATGACGACAAAAAAAATGAAAATTATAAAAAAAATAGTTTTTTTCTGTTTTTATATTACAATCCATAAAACTGAATAAATAAATAAAATAAAATTATAGTTCTTTATTTTTTAGGAAGGAGAGGGCTTTGGGAAGTGAAAGAAGCGGCGCGGAGATATGGAGAGACTGGGAGGCTTTCTCCTTCCTCCATCTACCTATCCACCCATTCATCCATATCCAACCATTTATTCTTTTTAAGCTAAGCCAATATTGAGACTATTAATGCTCAAATGAACCAATAACCGCTTTATACGTCTGTTTTAAAACCAATGATAACATCAGTTTAATAAAAGAAAAACAAAGACAGAAAAAAACAGCAAAAAAAAATTGGTTATTAATAAAAATAGTCGAAGTTATTTTCGTTTATTTCAATGGTAATTTCAAATGCTGACTTTTTTAATTGGTTTTTTAACTACTTAATTTTAACGAAAAAATAATGACAAAAAAAAATTGAGACAAAAAAATTTATCACTAAAATTAACGATTATCAATTTTTCTAAATAATATTTGCATATTATATTTAACATTACTAATGTCTATTGCTATACGAACAGTCTTATTGAATACATTTATAAACTACTTTAGACAGAAATATAGGCTTTTTTTTAATAACTGTTTTTGTTTATTTAGATATTTTAATATTGGTTATTTCGCCAACCATTAAAAGCCGTTATTGAAGCTGCTCAATTGAAGTTGAATTATATTATCAAGTAAAAAAACTACAGTTATATTTCATCTAACTTTTGACAAAAAAAAGCTAGAAGAGGTAAAGCACAAAATAAAAAGTTGTTTTCTTTCTTTATTTTTTAAACTTTTTAGACAAAATACCTAGAATTTTGTCTATGACAATGTTTTTTTGTTGAATCAGCAGCAGCAAATTATTCCCCCCCTCCTCCCAAAAAAAAAATAAACTGTTCCTTAATTGTTTCAACAATGCAACTAAAAAAGAAAAATATTTTTTATCTTTGATATCTTTCCCAACTTTTTTTTCCTCTTTTTTAAGATCAACCAAAACAACTGAACTAGATAAACAGTCGGTTAATTAGTCATTTAGTCTGTCACATGTGTGAATAACCAAAGACGGTTTGAAAGTTGAGATAAAAAACTGAGGAAATTATAGCGCTTTATTTCGGTCACATTAAGCCTGTTTTTCTCAGCTACAAAAAATTGAATTTTTAAGTAGAAATAAAAAATAAGGTGAAAGTAGCGACGTTTTGAGTATCTGTAGTTGTGTCGTCGTTACGTATCAGAAAAACAATTGGTACTGGATAACGGGAAGTCATTGTGGTCATGGAATAACAGATAACTGACAAACTGAGTTTGTTTGTGTAGAAGTATGCCCCGAAGTTTAGAGAACCATTACGGCCATTAACAGCGCCATTGGTACAATCATCGTCATCATCGTTACCGTAGCTATCGAAAAGGTCATTCTTTACATCATTGAACATTCATACAACCGATTTTTTGCTTAATTTTGTTTTATTTTGGACTCGAGTTACAGACTAAAAAATTAATTTTTTCTTGTCTCTTCGTTTGATACGTAGAAATACTGATTGTTTTGATAGTAACGGTAACGACAATGGTGATAATGATGCCACTGGTGCTGTTGATAGTGGCGATAGTTTTTGAAATTTCAGGTATGTATCGAAGTAAACGAATCAGTTTGTCATTCATCTGCTCCACAGCGACCACAAAAAATTCCGGTATTCCGTTCCCAACACTTTTCACGTAAGAAACGACGATGCAATTATGAGAGCAGTTTAGTTTTTATTTCTGCTTGACAAGTTGATGCCACAAGATTTAAGGAGACAAAAGCAGGAGACTAAAAAAAAGAGAATGAAAAGTTACAACTTTTTTTTTTTGCTTTTAATCGTCTTCCAGCCAGATTTGGATTATCAAAACGATAAAGAAACCGATGCGCTTCTCTTTATATCTTAAAAGTCTGCTACTTTATTGTTATAATAAGGTTTATCAAACAGTCTGTTGGCAAGAAAATGTATCTTCTTACTGGGTATCTGACGTACTATCGCCAGGAGAAGGAAAACAAGCAATAAAAGAAGTTGGAAGAAAATAAAAGTGAAAAAGAAATACCCAGCAGTGGAAAATGTTCAATGCTGTTACTGCTCAATTATGGAATGCTTTTATATGCGCAGAAGGTATAAAAAATGTGAATTTTTTCTATTAAAAAGCAAAAAAAAAAGCCTAAACAAAT